TAATAATATTTTTTTTAATTTTAATTTTTAATTTATTTAATTTAATTTTATTTAATTTAGATTTCTTTATTAGCATTAGTGGTTGTAGTAAGCTTTGCTTTAACTTTTATTTATTTATTATTTAATTTTTTATTTAATTAATTAATTTAATTTTGTTTTTTTTTTATATTTTTTTTTTTTTAGATTAATTTATTACTTATGATATTAGCTATTGCAGTAAGTTGATTTAATTTAATTTAATTTTTTTTATTTATTTATTTAATTTTTTTTTTTAGATTTCTTTATTAATAATTGATTAGCATTTACGGTAAGTGGGTGAAGTTTAATTTAATTAATTTAAATTAATATTTTAATTAATTAATTATTTATTTTTTAATTTTTTTTAGTTTTTTTTTTGATAAATTAAATTATTATCTATAGTAAATATTGACAGCTACGATAAGTGAGTGGGGTTTAATTTAATTAATTTAAATTAATATTTTAATTAATTAATAATTTTTTTTAATTAATTAATATTTTTTTTAATTTTTTTTAGCTTTTTTTGATAAATTAAATTATTATCTATTTAATTATAGTAAATATTAGCAGCTGTGATAAGTGGATTTGATTTAATTTAATTTTTTTTTATTTTTATTTTTAAATTTTATTTTTTTTTTTAGATTTAGTTCACGTGACGAACCGGTCTATAAATAAGGGCAAGCTTAGTTTGTAATGCTTTCTCGGACGCTTTCAAGACTTTTGATCTTGATGATCGGTTAATAGTTGGTTGGCATTTATAGTGGTAAGTGAGTTTAATTTAATTAATTTAAATTAATATTTTAATTATTTATTTATTTATTTTTTAATTTTTTTTTAGTTTTTTTTTGATAAATTAAAATTATTATATATAGCAAATATTGGCAGCTGCGGTAAGTGAATTTAATTTAATTTAATTTTTTTTAATTTTTTTTTAATTTAAATTTTTTTTTAGATTTTTTAATAATAATTGGTTAGAATTTGCAGTAAGTGAGTAGGGTTTAATTTAATTAATTTAAACTAATATTTTAATTAATTAATAATTTTTTTTTTTATTTTTTTTTAACTTTTTTTGATAAATTAAATTATTATTATTTATTTAATTATAGCAAATATTAGTAGCTATGGTAAGTGGATTTGATTTAATTTAATTTTTTTTTTATTTTTATTTAAATTTTTTTTTTTTAGATTTTTTTATTAATAGTTGGTTGGCATTTGTGGTAAGTGGATGGTGTTTAATTTAATTATTTAAATTAATATTTTAATTAATTAATAATTTTTTTTTAGCTTTTTTTGATAAATTAGCAAATATTGCAGCTGTGGTAAGTGGATTTGATTTAAATTTATTTTTTTTTTTAAATTTTTTTTTTTTTTTTTTTAGATTTCTTTATTAATAGTTGGTTGGCATTTGCGGTGATAAGTGAGTTTTTTTTTTGATAAATTAAAATTATTATATACAGCAAATATTGGCAGCTGCGGTAAGTGAATTTAATTTAATTTAATTTTTTTTAATTTTTTTTTAATTTAAATATTTTTTTAGATTTTTTAATAATAATTGGTTGGAATTTGCGGTGAGTGAGTAGGTTTAATTTAATTAATTTAAACTAATATTTTAATTAATTAATAATTTTTTTTTTATTTTTTTTTTTAAATTTTTTTTTTTTTTTTAGATTTCTTTATTAATAGTTGGTTGGCATTTGCGGTAAGTGGGTGAGGTTTAATTTAATTAATTTAAATTAATATTTTAATTAATTATTTATTTATTTTTTAATTTTTTTTTAGCTTTTTTTAATAAATTAAATTATTATCTATAACAAATATTGGCAGCTGCAGTAAGTGGATTTAATTTTATTTAATTTTTTTTTAATTTTTTTTTAATTTTATTTTTTTTTTTTATTTTTTTAATTGATTCGCAGTCATAAGAGAGTAACAAGGATGTGCCTGATCGCTCTTATACGCATGATTCTAAGACATCAACAGCTTCCTACAATCAGGAAGTAGATATATATTCATCATATACAGCTAAAATCATATGAAAACACCACACCTTATATGCTAGTAAAAGTTTTTATTAATATATCTACACATTACATAAAGCAGTTACATACACTTTTTTAATCCTATTTCCTTCGTGTTATTATTGTGATATAGTAATCATCAAGAAAAAATATATTGTTTTTCCGACCCCGAAAGGCTGGCGTGTGTAAGATAAAGGCATTATGGCATTTGTATAACTTTTCTATAAAATATAATCCGTTATTTTTTGTTATTTTTTTTGGGGAGAGTTGTCTGGTACTTATCCAATTTTGTACACGATCAGTTTCGTTATTGTTTAAAACATTTTCCTTTGACATCTTACTCTTTACATCTTGCCGATTAATAAGGAGCTCCTATAATAGAAAATAGAATAGTTGATCAACCGAATAAATCTTAAATGAGATATTTTATGCTAGAAAATAATGTAATACCTCCAAGAGGGCACCAAATTTTGCAATATCAAATAAATTCCATCCTTCAGAATAAGATGTAGGTATTCTAAAACTAAATACCTCGTAAA